CAGTGTGCTTTTCTCTTTCCTTCTAGTTGTAGAATTTCCACTCAGCCAGGCTTCCTGTGGTTCTGGATGATGTCCATTTTGTCTTTTAGTTGTATTTTTGAAGTGGTTGTGCGAGGCAGCAATTTCCAGTGTTTACCTATGTCACCATCTTGGTTTCTCAGCTGTGGTACATTTAAACAATGAAATGCTACTTGGCAGTAAAAAGAAGGAATTCTCATCTTTTGGGGACAGCATGGATGATCCTAGAGATTATTATGCTAAGTGGAATAAGCCAATGAGAAAAAGACAAGTACCATATGATTTCACTCATATGTGGAATCTAATGAACACACTTAACTAATAAGCAAAGTAGAGACACACTCATGGATAGAGAGCAGGCTGACACCTGTCAGAGGGAAGGGTGGTGGGATTGAGAAAAAAAGGAAAAAAGAGAAAGAAAAACTCATGGACACAGACAACTGTGTGGTGATTGCCTTGGGGAGGAAAAGTGGGGGGCAGGTGGAGGAGATTATAGGGAGGATAAATGGTGATGGATGAAGACTTGACTTGGGGTGGTGAACACACAATAAATAGTGTATGATAATGTGTTGCAGAGTTGTGCACCTGGAACTTATATAATTTTTTAACCAGTCTCATCCCAATAAATTCAATAAAAATGAAAAAAATATATTTATCAAATGAGTTTTTCTTCTGCTTCTGAAAATGGCACTAGCATTCTCTCACTCAGGCCTTCAAATTTGCTATTATCTTTGATCCTCTCTTTCTCTTGGTCCCCTAAATCCTGCTGATTATACCTTTGAAATCTCTCTTTCTTTCTGTTCCTATTGCCTCTACCTAGTCCAGGACCTCATTTGCTCATGCCTAGATTTCTATAGTCATCCCCTTACCTTTTTTCCCCCTCCTTATACAGTGCATATATAGAGTCCTATAATATGCATCCTGAAATACTGTTCTCATTGTGAAAAGTTGTAGGTAGAGCAGAAGACACACTGTGTGCCAATAGTCAAAGACAGTTAATATCTCAATATTCTTATCTGTAAAATAAAGATTATGTTTCAGGTATTGTGAGGATTGAATTGGTTAATATATGTGAAACTCCTTTATGAACTATAAATTACTAAGTAAATGTTATCCTACATAATAAAAGCCTAGGTGGTGTCGCACGATGTCTTCATGTGATGTCATCACAAGATGGCCACCACAAGATGGCCGGCAGGAGAGGGCAGTTGGGGGCGATCAGGCCGACAGGGGAGCAGTTAGGCGTCAATCAGGTCGGCAGGGGGGTGGTTGGGCGGTGGGGGGTGATCAGGCAGGCAGGCAGGCAGGCAGGCAAGCGGTTAGGAGCCAGCAGTCCCAGATTGTGAGAGGAATGTCCCTGCGGAATTGGGCCTAAACTGGCAGTCAGACATCCCCCAAGGGGTCCCAGATTGGAGAGAGTGCAGGTCAGGTTGAGGAACACCCCCCACCCACCCCTGCCCTGCGTGCATGAATTTCGTGCACCAGGCCTCTAGTGTGTAATAATGATCAGGCCACTTTGTCACATAGGAATTGCCCCACATACTCTTTAATAACTTCTTTCTTATTTTCCTGGCTCCTGAACTCTCAAGATACAACCCTATGGTATTTGAGATCATTAGTAATTTGGCCTGCAGATTCCCTTTCAAGTAGCCTGGGACCCTTTTGGTCCTTGGAACACAACTCTAATTTCTATTTCATGTTTCTGCAGGTCTTTTCTTCTCCTTCCCCTTCCCCCACCAACCCCCGTCCGTACTGGGTTCTCTTTTCATATCTCTACATTTATGCAAATCCTTCCATTCCCAACTCAAGTTCTGCCTCTTCAAAGAAGCTTTCTCATCCTATGCCTCCTGTTAACCTCCCCAAGCATGCAACAGCACACTCAGTCTTCATCATACAGCTCAACACATAATTATATGCCATTCTACTATTATTCCTTATGTGTATAGCTCCCTGAATTTTCAACTGAGTCTACACCTTTTGTATTTTCCTAAAGCCTAGCATAGACCTTTCTCATTGTGGGCGGCACTATTACACAAGGGTGAATCAATAACAAAGAAATACTTACTATAGCTTCAAAGTTGTTCATTCCAGAGACTTGGCCTATCTTTGGTAACTTCATCTAGCAGTCTGCTATGGACAAGGCCCATGATGCCATTGGCAAATAACATTTTTAACAAAGCATGACAGTTATTCTTTGCTTTTTGAATGTGAATGCCAGCTTTAAAATTGAGCTTCTTAGTGTATTCCCAACATATGAAAATCAGGTGACACACAGTCAATATTAATGTTAATTTGATGAAACTGTAATAGAAAATTGAATACTTTGCTTTTCAACAGTGCCCCACCATAATCCTCAAACATTTGGCTTTTAAAAAAAGTAAACAAGTATTGCAACGTTATAGAAACAATGATTAACATTTATTTATACATGTAGTGATAGGGCTATGAGACCAAGAGAACTTGGTAAATATAGGAAGCCTCAATAAGTAAACATGAACTTCCCTGTTATACTTTCTATCTCATTATCAGCTATCTCATTATTTGAATTCCATGTGTTCATTCACAGGTAGTTCATGATATTGAAAGAGACAGAGTAATAATTCATCTATGCAACTGTCCACTTCTGTATGATGATGTAAAAGTGCAATTTCTGTCTTCTTCAGTGAGTAATCAAGAAACAACCTATGCTGTTATTCTTGTTTGGTTTTTTGAATAATTCTGGCTTGAGATTTACATTGCTACATATCTCAACAAGGGAGATGATAGATGTCAACTCCTGACCAGGGAGGAAGAAAAAAACAAGTCAAATCCATAACACTTTTTTTAAAGAACATATGTAATTTTAAAATTTTGCTCATTTGATTTTCTAATTTCTATACAATATGTATGTATTAATTTCCACATAAGTAACACAAAAACTAAGATGTAAAAAAAGACAAAGGTATGTTTTACTGCATAGTCAAATTTTTGTTTTATATTTTATACATTTAAAACGCATTGCTCCCCATTTTTTAAATACTTGAAAGTGAAGATTTTACTTTCTTCTGAATTGTTATATAGTACATTATAAATAGTATTTTAATGCAATATTTATTTTATAAAAATCCAATATTTACTTTATGAAAAATAAGAATTCTGCTGTCATTACTGTACCATGAGTGTATAATTTATATTGACCAGTCATAAAATGTATGTCTGGGCATTACTCTGTATATAACACATTTCTAATCTCAATAGTTTCAATTAATTTTCCTGTAAAACCAACCACAGCTTCCAATAAGAAACTATGTCCATCAATTAACAAGTTTTTTTGGTTAATCCTCAGCTGAGGATATTTTTTCCATTGATTTTTTTTTCTTTTAGAGGGAGTGGAAGGGAAGTAGGACAGAGGGAGGGAGGGAAGGAGAGGGGGAGGAAGGGAGGATGGGAAGGAGAAATGTCAATGTGAGAGAGACACATGGTTGCCTCCAACATACACCCCAACTGGGAATAGGAATTGAACCTGCAACCCAGGTACATGCCCTTGATTGGGAATCAAACCTGCAACCCTTCAGTGCTCTGGCAGATACTCTAACCACTCGCCACACCAGCCAGGGCTGTGTCCATTGATTTAAAACATATTTCCTGTGTCCTCCTTTAGCCCCTGCTTTCTCCCTGTTAGGGGAGAATCTACTACTAGTAAGTATTGAAATGGTAACTGTGTTAAAGCAAGTGACCTGGATGCTTTCCATATTGGATGGTTACCCCTTAATAATGGAGCCAGTCTGAATTCTTTCTCAATCATTGACCTCTAAGCTGAAAGACTGGTGAAGAGCACTGGCCCAGAGGATGCTAGTACTATCTGGCCTTTATGATTTTCAAGGGCCATGAAGTAAAAGCACTTTCAAAAAATTTAGATATTTCTATCATTAATAATAGTTAATTATATAATAGCTGCTCCTTGTAGGAATGGATGATATATTTGTGCATATATAGGCTTAGGTCCTTAATAGATTCTGCTTAGCACTATCTAAACCAGATAAAATGCATAAATGTCCATCATAGAAAAGATACATGCCTGGCCTGTGTGGCTCAGTGGTTGAGTGCCAACCTATGAACCAGAAGGTCATGGTTCAATTCCCAAGTTGCGGGCTCAGTCTCCAGTGGAGGATGTGCAGGAGGCAGTCCTTCAATGATTCTCTCATCATTGATGTTTCTATCTCTCCCTCTTCCTTCCTCTCTGAAAACAATAAAAACATTTTTTAAAAAGAAAAGATACATTTCCTTGAAAATTTTGATAGAAACAGCAATCCCTGAAAGCCTCCTCCCTGTGTCCTCGGTGTCATGGAGTAGACTGTAAACGCTGCACATTTAATGGCTGCGATTGTTTGATAAATATATAAATGAATAAAGGAAGGAATTGTAATCCCTGTTGGGTGATTAGTTTTTGTTATCACTTTTATTATGAAGAATAACCTTCTTTTTTTAAATCCATGTATTTTTAGGATCTTCCTAAATACTATGACAACTGCCCCTTTTTCTTTTGGTTCCACACATCCTTTATAGAAAATAACAGGTATGGTTTATTATATAATCCAGTAGAAATAGCCTTACTTCCATGTTTGTGTAAGGTGTAATGGCAAGTCTTCTGCTGATTGCCATAAACTCAGTTTACAGAAACCAAAAAATCCTCAAGTCACCATTCTTCATTCACATACTCATTTAATCTGGTTATTATAAAAATATGGCTATTCTTGAGATCTGCATTATCCTCAAGGCCATGCCATAGGACTGTGTTATAAGTTAAAACATATTATAATCAGATCTTGAATGTGGTAATAAATCCAGCAGTTTGAGTTTGCTCAGTACCTTAAATAGGACAGATCCTCAGTATATGTTCATTTATTGATGACTGACCACTACTAAATTGTGTGGAAAAGGAAGGGGTCACCTGGTGGTGGGCTACTTTAAAAGATAATTGTCACACTTTTTTCTAGGACAGAAGTCATAAGACATAGTGTCTGTGAAGACAGCTAAAAAAAATCACTCATAGTGTGTGCTCTCTCTCTTTTCCAGAACACACCCTAGCCTCTTCTCCCTTTTTTGTCCCTCAAAGCGAGTATCTTCTCCCTTTTCCTTCTAAGCTCCAAGGGCCCTTCTACTATTTCTGTAACTTTCTAAATAAATATTACCTTATAATTTTTAAAAAATCATTAATAGTCTCACATTTAAAAGTGATTTCTAATAACTAAATTGTGAACCACTTTTTAAAAGGTAAATATTAATTGATTTGAAGATCATTCCAAAGAAACTTCTGGAAACTCATTCCTGAGTCTAAAAATTCTCCACTTTAAATATTTGTTTCATGGTGCTGAAACAAATTTAAGATTATTGCTATCACAATACCACCCAACACAAAAGAAAAAATAATGTTCAAAAACTCATGCTGGTGAGTTTTGAAGCAGTTGTGATTGTATTTGGCATGAATTGATAGTTCTCATTACATAAACCTAGCCTATTCTTTAAATATGAACTGTATCTACTTACACTTGAGTCCAGTAAGGCAACAGGAAATTGAGCATCTAATCTACATACTTATAATGTACACACATTTAATGGATTTGGACAGAGTGAATTTTAGATTGAAAAATTTTTAACCAGTTTCCTTCCCTGGATGTATACAAACAATAAACTTTAACTCACAACAGAGGCAAAGTCTCTCAAATAGATATCTGGGTGGAACTTCATTAGGTGGGATGCCTCCGAAGTGGTAATTGCTAAATAAGGACACTTTTTTTTCCTTTAAAAGACCATGTTCATATTAGAGAGACAACCACAGTCAGATCACTTTCCTCCTCACTTTTACATGTTTCTAAAGATTTCTTCAACATTGAAATGTCCATACTACTTGGTAAAGCTGTTTTTATTAGTTATGAGATTGTTATCAGCTAAAATGCCAACTTAATCATTGAAAAGACACTCAGTATTTTATTTCTGGTTTTAATACACACCTATTCTCTCTGGCTGATTTCTGTCACATAAAAATTTATTTTATTAAACCCAGATGTCTTTTATTCGTTCCATAAAAGGCAATGTTAAAAGAATCAGTAACATGTTGTTACTATGTGTTTGTTAGTGAATATTAAGATATTTTGCATCTCAGTAGAGAAAGTGGGAGGATTGGCTCATGAAAAACTAAGAGAAAAGTGGGCAGAGACTAATCTTGGCCAGCAAATCTTTTTTTAACGCCTTAAAAAGGGTGCCTTAAATGGCTTTTCTATAAGCCCTAAAATATGTGTGTGTATTTTCTATTCTAGGCTTTATCTTTCAAGAAATGAATTGGATAATCCCCATAAACCAAAAGCATGGAAAATCTATCGTCCAGAGTTTGCAGTTGAAATTTATTTTGATGATGTTAAGTTGTGCCTGGTATCTGATTAAGTGTAGTTCCCCTTCTAGAATAGAATCATATTCTTCCCAATCCCTGCTATGTATTTATATCTTCAAAACCCTCTTCCTTGCTGGTATACTTATATTTACATATGTGTACATATGTTCTTGAGAATACTATTCAACATATATTAAATATATACAAGAGAAAATGTCAATGGCAATTTTTTTTCCTTTTTGAAGGAATACACTTCACACAAAGTTTTGAGATAAATTTGGAACACAACACACAGGAACATTAGTTATCACTTTTAAAAACTTTAAAGAAAACTTTTATATCAAAATAATTGGAATATTTAAAAATTGTGATTCCCCCTAATACTGTGGGTTTGTTTCACTTATTTACATATTTTTGGACAAGTATTTATTCCCTTTGTTTCACATTTATAATTTCAGATTAGAAAGTAATTTCTATTTTCTTCCTCCATTTGATTTACAAACTAACAAATACCAGATTGACAGCAGAGACTTTTAAACCCAGAGACGTGTTTACACAGCAGCCCCTCCCCCCAAACACACGCTTTTCTCTTGCTCTCCAAGCACCTCACAGAGCACTACGAGCTTCCTTTAGTCACACGCAGACGTGGGGAGACTAGAATCTTGGTCAACATGACGGATAAAGCAGCTTGGGGGACTCTGAGGGAATGTCGCCTTTTCATTCTAGTCCTGTGTCCAGAGGGAATCATTTTCTCTTTGGTACCCAGTGCTATTCTAAGTACTTTCACTGCCACTGTACCTTAAGGCCATGATTGTGCTTGAAAACACTTCTATTTTGGCTCTGTTGAAATTATCCTTACTTGAGTGATTTTTCCTTTATTTGGCAAGACTCTCAATTCTAGACCAAGTTAAATTCATTGGGAAACACAGCTAGCAATAAGAAACAGTGCTCTGCTAAAACACACGAAACCCATTCCTGAAAAACCTTTCACTCTGCAAAAAACACAGACTAAAATGGTTTGCTCGGGGGAGACAGGGTTGGGAGTTTAGGAGATTTGGAGGTTTGGGGCAAACCACTCGAACTAACAAACCCAACCAGCACATTAACCACTAACCACGCAGGTAGCAGCGCAGGACGCCTGGAGGTTGCCACAGTAGGCATTTTTTAAAAGGGGAAACTGGGCAATACCTTATTACAGAAGGACTGGTGGGTGCCAAAGTGGCACCGGCACAGGTGCTCTCTTCTTGTTTCAAAACAGCCCACAGAGGGTCAGAGCTGCCAGTGCAGAAGACCAACTGAAGGCTTTTTGCATTTGACAAAAGTTATTACCCTACTCTCCCTAACCTGGCTCCCCTGAAGGAAGAGATCTTGGAGGACCCTCTCAAGTTCCTTCCAGGTTATGACTGCATTATTCCCTGTTAATTGGTGCTACAGAAACGTGTTGTGGCAGAACAGGCTGTATTGTTTCCAGAATGCACATCAGGGGGCAGGCTTAATTGAATGGGGGAAGTGCTTAGCTGGCTCATGGAGGAGTAAGATCTATCTTTTTCAATACTGGCAGAACCCCATTTTTAAGAATCTTGCTCTTTGAAATAGGAGATACAGTTGGGATTTTTCTTCTCTAATCTGCCAAGATCCATCAGAATTTCTGGCAATGAGTTGCCACATAAGTCTGCTTCCTCTCCTAGAAAGAGAACTTGCTTAGGGTTTCCCAGGGGGTTGCTGTCTTAGAACCCAATGTGAATAACTCTTTGAACACAAGAAACTTATTTAGAATATATCAGAATGATACTGGTTTTCTTTTGTTCTTTGTTGTTGTTAAATATACATTTTTATTGATTTCAGAGAGAAATGGAGAGGGAGAGGGAGATAGAAACATCAGTGGTGAGAGAGAATCATTGATTGGCTGCCTCCTGCACACCTTCCACTGGGGATCGAGCCCGCAACTAAGGCATATGATTCCCAACTAAGGCATATGATTCCCCGCGGTGAGGCTGAAGTGGACCCCGGTGAGGCTGGGACGGGCCCCCGGTGAGGCCGAAATGGCCCCAGTGAGGTCGGAATGGCCCTGGGGAGGTTGAAACGGCCCCGGTGAGGTAGGGATAGCCCCGGTGAGGTAGGGATGACCCCAGTGAGGTCGGGATGGCCCTAGTGTAGTCGGGATGGCCCCAGTGAGGTCAAGACGGCCCTGGTGAGGACGAAACAGCCCCGGTGAGGTTGGGACGGCTCCAGTGAGGTTGGGACAGATAATGGGGACCAGTATAGACTGATGAACAGGGATAGATGCAGAGGCAGAGCAACATTGAACAGACTGTCAAACTACAGTGGGAAGCCTGGGGAGGGTTTGGGGGGGGGGGTTAAGGCATATGATTCCTTGACCGGAATCAAACCCGGGACCCTTCAGTTGCAGGCTGACGCTCTATCCACTGAGCCAAACCAGCCAGGGCCTCTTTCTTTTTTTGATACTGGTTTTCTTAAACAGAATTTAATTACCTGGAACAGTATCCATAACTTAATAGAAAGAAGTTTAACTACTTAAAGAAAAAGAATGGTAACCTGCCAAATCAGACACCTCACATGCACAGCCTGGTGGAGAGAGATAGTAACTCTAGTGAACCGAGTTTCATAATTGCAGTGTATATAAAGAACTCCTCATATACTCAAATATTAGGCAAATAATTTAATAATATAGAACACTAGAATTTCTCTAAACACAGTGACTATATTTCTATCTGGAGTACGGATCTGAAATGGTACAAATTATACACGATGAATTCAATAGAATGAAAAATCAATTCCTCTGACTTTCCATTCCTTGCTCCCACTCACTCTTCCTTGCCTCAGACTGTTTCTATTGAAGATATTTAGTTAAACCTTTAAAGGAGGACATGTGAGGTCTACTGCCAACAGTGTTCACATGCTGACGGGCACCACACAGGGGGACCAGGGACCCTGAGCAATTCGCTTCCTGCTGGAAGCCAGTACTTCATTTCTAGCCTGTTCAGATGAAGTGCCACTCAGATGGCCAAAGAACAGCTGCCATCTCCAAGTCTGTGGGAATCAGAGGAATGAGTGTTTTGTTGCTATTACTGCACACATGTGGCACAGCTTAATAAAAACTACTTTGTTTCATTGCTTTATAAAGTCACGCCCCATACAGACATCATTAAAACTCAACGACTGCCAGTACCAGATATAAGGGGTTCCAGCACTATCAAAGCACGATGGAGTTATGGACCCCAAGAAAAACTTGAGAAAGGGTCAGCCCTGACGTTACTCACTGCGGTGTGCACACACTACGTTTGGTTTAGTTCTGAAAGGAGCACTGGCAGTCACCAGACAGGGAACAAGGACTTCTCTTGGCTTTGGCACTCTACTCCAGGAAGGGTTTCCAATTGGTGGAGGCAATGAGTGAATGGTCCAAAGTGGTCCAAAGAATATCTGGAATCCTACCCAGGCCAGGACCCAGAGACCAAAGCTAAGGGCTGTTGTGGGCCACAAGGTCTTCACAAAGACGGCAGCACAGCCCCCTCCCCTCAGGCCCTTCCGGAACATAAAGCCCAGCAGAGGGAAGCTCTTTGTGAGAGAAGAATGGAGTTGGCACAGTGAAGGCCAAGCAGCTTTCCAAGGGCTTGATACTCTAGGCCACACCCAAGAATATTTCAGAGAGTATATGATCCCACCAAAAAAATGAATGGCACTATTTTAACAGTAGAGCAGCTTAGAAAAATCCAGGATGCTTATTCTGAAAGTTAAATCAGAAACATGGAAACCACATCAGTTTACAGTTAAATTCTTTTCTTTTAAGATCCATGGATATACTAGTATTGGTTTCTAAGTACCACAGGAAACCTTTTTAAAAACTTGAACCACTTGGTATAGTGCATGTGTTAAGCAGATTTTAAGAGACCCTATATCTAGAATGGGTTAAGTAATCATAACCATCTTCATGAAACATGGTTACCTCTGGGTTTTTCTGGTGTGATCTGATTAAACACAGAACAAAATTATGCTTCATTCACAACACACAACCATCCAAACTGCATGTACAATACAAATTTATGCAAAATCCCTGATTATATTTAGATTGTCAGATTAGGAATGGAGGGCCAGAGGCTACCCTGTGTGTCCTACCAAGGACAGCAGCAGCAGCTTTGCTATTTCAGTACAATTATGGGCAGAAATCAAAGTGTGTAAAATTGAGGTCCTTCCATGAAGTTTAAATTTAGGGTAGAATACTTCAGTCTGCTTCAAGCTGGCTCATCATCAACTTCCTGCTGTATTCATAGGCCAAAAATAGTGCCCCATTGGCGGGGAACGCTCGAATCATAGTAGGTTTCAGTCCAGAATATAAGGCAGTTATTCCTAGAAGACAAAAGGGTGATCCAAGACTGAGTCCCTTCCTTAGAGATATTCCATGAAGCTGCACAGCATACATATTTTACACTTACAAATCCATACAACAGCATTAAAAACCAACATATGATGAAAGACCTCATTTCCAGATTTCCCCTGGACGAATGGAACTAAATAGACTATAGGAAGCTGGACAACGTCAGGACTCCGAGCAAAGCTGGTTGATGCTCAGGTAACATACACCAATCCCATGCCTGGTTAACTCCTGGTAGGTGGATCTGGCAGAACTGAGGCCTCACGGGGCAGACAGAAGGTGAACACAGAGCCACAGGCTGCTGTAATCTTGTAGCTTTGCCTGGGAGGCAAAGACGAGGCATAGGGCACGCGAAAAGAGCATTTCTGATTTTAGCATTGCCCTATGAAGATCCAACTACATTAGGGAGGAGTAAGTACTTTGTAAAACTATAAAGTGTTATGTAAATTTAAAGAGGGGTTACTATTAGTAATATACAAGATATCTGTACTCGGGACACAAATTAAACAATTTCTGCATACTGTTACTGTGCTCTCGCTTTTAAAATCATGATAGAGGAGTTCACATCTCCAGCTTTAAGATGTATAGAGGATGCTGGAAGGACAGACTTCACTCACTATAGTAGCATAAAACTGGCTGTATACAAACATTAAGTAGAAAATCTACATCCTCCTACATAACTAAAAATTGATAGAAAATCACCTTCAGAAGTTGCTCAGTGATTCCTACTTCCAGGAGACTAAGGATTAAGCATGGTGCACATTCTTTTAAATCCCTTAGTGGTTCTCTTACGGTCATCTGAAAATATCTATACGACATAAAACAAGTGGTGCTAACTTCAAAACATCTGTCCCCTTAAACAAAGTCCATATTTTAATAATTCCCTCCAGGCTGTTTAGAACAAAGCATCCTAACAGGTACCTGGGTAAGGGGTTAGGAATAAGAACTTTAAACATTCTTGAGAATAATGAAAGTAAGCTAAAGAAAGGGAATTGGAAACAAATCCACAAACATGAATTAACATACAGTGCTAGACAAGGAATATGAGATGGGGCAGACACCAATTATACACGCTACACTGCAACAAGACCAGCAGTGAAATATGACATACATACGTGCTCTGTTAGTGCAATAACAGACCCACCTTCATTTTTCACAACACTTATACAGGTTCCAACAAATCCTGCCTGTTTTCCAGACATGGAAAGAACTTGAATTCTAGACTTGATACAATCCACTGGGTAAACAGCAAGCCAGAGGCAAATTCCACCAACTCCACCACTTAACATCAAAGGGACAGGGCCTAGAGAAGAAAATTAGCAAACAGTGTTTTATCTCAAAAACAGCTGATGTGACATTTCTAGAGGTCAAGGTAGTGGCTGCAGGTAGGTGCAAATAAAAATGCTAATGCTGTGAAGCACAATTCTGAGGTAACTGTTGAACTCTAAGAGCACAGGTAAACTTCGCCAGGAGGGGAAGCCCTAGTGAGGGTCATATCAGGCTGGTCACTGTGGCTCTGAGGCCCTCCTGCCCCACCCTGAGGGCCGGTCCACACAGAACCAGCAGGCCCCCAGCAGCACGGCAGGCCCTACTAGGAGGAACGAGATGAGAGAGCATTGAAACAGAGGCCTCTTTTCAACTGTCTTATTCTGAAGTACTGTAATATTTTAAAGTCCAGCAGCCCTGATTCTTCCTTTACTGTGGAAAATAAAAGTTGTCTTATTAAACAGAACAGTTAAGCCTAGGAGCTTGACTAATCCTAGAATAGGTCCAAAACACTGATGGGAGGTTTTAAGGAAAAAGTAATCACACTCATGTGGACTCATGTGTAACTGCTTGATACATTGTGTCAAGCAGTTAAATAGAATAAGCTAGAAAGAACTATAATTTCACTTCTCTCAAACACGATCAAGATTTATTACCAAATTTTAAGCTTATTGCAAGATAATTTACAGGTGATTTCCCTATTTATTGATGTTTTCCCATAGGGAAAGGAATTTCTGTATTTCCTCACCTCTAAGATGGAGCCAGAATAAATTAATAAATGTTATAAAAGTACAGAAGTTTGGAATGCACTGTGTCAGCCTGTCCTGAGGAAATTACCAAGCTGAAAGGAGGGTGCCAATAGTCGCCAGCGCCACCTAGGGGAAGGTGCCTGCAATTGCCAGGGACACACTGCTTCCCAGTATCTGGAAATCCCAGTGCCAGGTGGGGCCCCCACAGCCGGGGTGGGGGGGAGGGGGGGCAGGGCACACGGAATCCGCAGCAACCACACCATTGGAAAGCTGACACCGTCAAACCCAAAGTGAATACATTTACCTAGTTCATCTTTTGATCTCCCTGCGGCAAAAAACGATCGACTCTGTTCATAGCCGCCGAAAAAGAAGAAATAGCCCGGTACTTCTCGAAGTAAAGTGCTTGAGAGTCCATGATAGAAGCCCAACGGGCCATCCTTTCTAAGGATACTCTTCACTACAGACCAAACTGTACTGGAAGGAGACAGAGGGAGAGTGTTAAACACAACACCGGCATTAGCACCCAATCAACAGACCTGATTAAGCTCTAGGAAGGAAACAGCTGATTTTATAAACAGAATTCTGAGAATAAAGACTCCTGTG